TAATGTAATTGGATTTTTTTTTTTTTTTTTTTTTTTTTTTTTTTCTTTTTCTCGGGCCTATACCAGTATTGCAGATTTCTTTAGCAAACACTGCTGTTTTTTTTTCTACACGTACCGATAAATCCCTTGGCTCCTTCACCTACCTCTCTGGACATTCCTCGGTGCCTCTTCCCCGCAACGCAACTCCAACACATTAACTTGTCATCTCTGTGTGTCTTCACCATCTTCCTCTTTACAGCATTGCCGCACTTTATGATTTAGCTCTTGTTAACTTTTTAAATCAGTTTTACATTTTTATGCTTCTTCGTCTTCTCGGATCGTTCACATACCTTTAATTTTTCCTCTTTCGCTCGTGAACATTTCCTCCTCTCTTTTAAGCTCCTGTGATCTTTCTGTCACCGTCAGTCCCCTTGCATCTTCTCCTTTCTTTAGTTCTAGGATCTTATCTGCCTTTTACTTCCTCCATGCTCTTCACTGAACATTGGGTATTATATCCACTGTGGCACCAAATAATGCTTGCCTTAGCACAAGGTCCGCCGTTACAATACTACGTGTATGTGAGGCCCGCGGTATATTAATCATTTCGGCCGTTTTACATTTTTTCGCATCCGTCTGTTTCAAAAATTTACCTGCCTATTTCCTCTGGCCCGTCAAAGTATGGAGCATAAACCACAGTGGTATATATTTACAGACACACCTTTTAGATACCCAGGCAGTACCTAATCTGACTCCATGAACACAGCCATGAACACAGTTAACAATATTGTTTCCGATTATAGTACCAATTCCTCTTTCTGCTTCATCTCTTGAGTATACATAACTGAATTCCCCTTCACCGCTTACCCAGCGCTAATCTATCTCACCTTACCTTATGCCAAAATATCCACCCCTGGCCTCTTCATCTCAGTCTGTACACCGTCGACCAGTCCTGCCCTGAACACTGGTCTCCTATTCCACGTTGTTATTTCAGTCTGCATTTCCTATGACGATTACTGCCGAGGGTGGTGGCTGTTCCTCTAACTTAGGAACAGTTCTCGTACAATTTTCTCTCTCAAAGTCTTTGATTTGTACCTTCCATGGTAGACGTATGTGATGTGTGGAAGGGTCGCTGGTTCCTCTCCACGGTGGCTGACCAAATATTCCTTCATCTGCAGAACTCACCTTATGATGTGTCATGATGTCTGTCATCGGTCTTTAATCTAAAAGACTTTTCTGTTTTCTTCTTCGATCCACAGTTATTGTATCCTTAACATATATGATTTGAATTTTGGAGATTTCCTTCCTCTCGTCTTGGGCTTTGGAAAGAGCCTGGTCACGCGGTTGGGAGATTGTACAAGGGCCGGAATATTCGTTTCCCTATGACAATCTATATTGCAGCTACTTCCTGTTTGTGTGTGTATATATATATATATATATATATGTATATATATATATATATATATATATATATATATATATATATATGTGTATGTGTGTGTTTATATATATATATAGATATACATACATACATAAATCTATCTATCTATCTATCTATCTATCTATTATATAATATATATATATGTGTGTGTGTGTGTGTGTGTGTGTGTGTGTGTGTGTGTGTGTGTGTGTGTGTGTGTGTGTGTGTTGTGTGTGTGTGTGTGTGTGTGTGTGTGTGTGTTGTGTGTGTGTGAGTGAGTATTGCACACACACACAAACACACACACACATATACATATATGTATTATTTACATATATATGTACATATATATATATATATATATACATACATACATGTATATCCATGCATTTATATATATACATATCCATTTGAATATATATATATATACTCATATATATTCATACGAGCACATACAAAAGTTGAGATTCGGGCTTGAATGAAGTCCCAGTACGTCTGGCGGAGCGCGGCGCCGCGTGACGGAAATAGCGGCGGCGACCGACCAGAGATTCTCGAGTGGTCACGCGAGGGAAATAAAGGGCGAGGCGCCTTCCCGACGCACAGATTGCACCCGCTGCAAGGAATGCTAACGAACTGCATACTATATATGTTTCAATGTGTACGTGTGTGTATGTGTGCGTTTATTTATAACGTTTAATGCAAGTACCAAACAATCATTTGGTACTATGTAACGGACTGAAGGTTACTAATTGGAATGCTCATAGATATTACCTCCATGAACATATTTCCCCTGGTAGCCTCAAAAGAAATGTTATATTCTCATATGCTTCAATATAGGTATCACTCCTCCGATCGCTCTATTGTGCACCTCCCGCATATCTAAAGCATCATGAACATCACTCAAAAACTTTCTATCGGGAATCAATAGCTCGGAGTAAATGTAAACAAATGATAGTGCGTCCGACCTCAGGAAAACAAAAACTGGCAACTCACCCCGGCCCTGGAGAATTTCGAATCGCCAAATAGTTATTTTTACTCTAAACATCTTACTCTCAATACTTGTGCTCACATAATTTTAGGTTTTCTAAACTAATGTGTATATTT